GGAGAGGAGAGGAGAGGAGAGGAGAGGAGAGGAGAGGAGAGGAGAGGAGAGGAGAGGATCACTTGTCTATTGGTGCGGGGTTGCTCCGCCCTGAGCCGTAGCCACGCTCCTGGACTACATTTCCCAGCAGCCCTTGCGCGGCCCCGGGCGCATGCGTTCGGCCGGCCGGGGCCGTGCGCGGAGATGCAGGCGGCGCGCGGAGCCATGGCCAGTGAGTGGCGGCGCTGGCGCGGCGGGTCGATTGGAAGGGCGCTTCCTGCCCACGCGGCGCTGCGCGGGCGGGCCGGCGGCGCTGCGGGTGTGCCCTACTAATGGCTGTTGTAAAGGGCGGTTCGGCAAGGCTGGCACCGGCTCCGTCACGGAGCTGCACGCAGAGCTGCCGCGGGCCTGCAGCGCTTCGTTCCCGGTTGGCTACACCTGGCCGGGGGTGCTGTCCTACAGGCTGTCCTACAGCCTGCAGCTGGAAGCCTGGAGGCATTCAAGGCCAGGCTGGATGTGGCTCTGGGCAGCCTGGTCTGGTGGTTGGCGACCCTGCACATCGCAGGGGGGTTGAAACTGGATGATCTTTGTGGTCCTCCCTGCACTAGGAGGGCATTTCCAGAGCCACACACCCTCTGCAGAGCTGTTGGAAGTGGTCTGTGCGTGTGCACACGCAGGCAGGTTTATTCCGTTACACGCTCGTTCATGAATTCAGATTATGAAGTTTTACCCAGAATTCCGCTGGGTAATTTCTTCTTTTCTGCTATTAGACTTCCGCCTGGCACTGATTCAGCTTCATGTATCTGCTGTTAAATCGGATAACCTTCAGCGAGCCTGTGGGCTGATAAGGGAAGCGTCAGCCAAGGGAGCAAAAGTTGTGGCTCTGCCTGTGAGTAATCGTCATTTACATAATTAAATAAGAGTTTTAATATAATTTTGCATTGTGATTCAAAATGCCTACACTTCACACTCTTGGCAGACCTCTGCTTACTGTTAACCATGCATTGTCTATTCCTGTTTCTCTCTGGATATGCTTGGATGATTTAACTGAGACAGGGGAGGCTTAGGTTAGATATTAGGAGGAAGTTTTTCACTCAAAGGTGGTGACACACTGGAACAGGTTGCCCAAGGAGGCTGTGGATGCCCCATCCCTGGAGGCATTCAAGGCCAGGCTGGATGTGGCTCTGGGCAGCCTGGTCTGCTGGTTGGTGACCCTGCACATTGCAGGGGGTTGAAATAGATGATCATTGTGGTCCTTTTCAACCCAGGCCATTCAGTGATTCTATGCATGGATGCTGTAGCAGGCTTCAGAACAGGGAAAAACTTTCCTTGTGTGGAAACTCAATGACAGTATTTCTGATCACTTCTGATTTACTTCATCTGTTTCTGTGTATCAGTGAGGTGATCTTCCCAGCGTACCTGGGGCTACACATGCTGTGCCCTGCAGCATCTGACTTGGGAGTGCAAAGTTCTTTTCTGGTCTGAATGCTTTACAGAGAGAATGTTTCTCCCTCCCGCTCTCCCAGGCAAAACATTAAGCAACCTTCCCTTCTTCTTTGTGCTAACACAGCTCTTCTATTGCAAAAATGACCTTTGATTGTTCTGTCTGGGCCTCCTGTGTTATCTATTATTTGCTACTTTTGTCATGTGTACGAACAAATGGTAATTTCTGTTCATAGAGTAAAACCTCTCAAGCAAAAGCACAGTTTTTTTGTTTGGGAATTTCACTAAGGGGTGAAATATTCTCTCCTCCACCTTAATGTTTTTGAAGTCACACTACATAAAGAAGTAATACGCACCAAGCATACAGCCTACACCTTTTCACAGTTCCGTGGCCATTTCTTTTGTGGTGTTAGCCTTCCTGTGTTGTTTTTGATTTCTGAACCTGGAAAAATGTGGAAGAAAAATGTTTTGTAATACTTATATTAGGAATATAAGTAAGGATAAAGGAATAATAACAGCAGAATCCATTTTAATCTGCAATGTGATTAAAAGCCATTCAAAGGTCTGTCCCCACATTCTTCCCAATCTGGTGAGTACAGGATGAGATGATCTGTGCAATTTGCAGTTCTGTTCCAGCACAGCCCCATGCGCTGCTGCAGCTCATACAGATCTTCACCTGTTCTCCTGAGTCTGTGGTTTCAGTGTCACTCGCACTGCCTTGCAAAAGCAGCAAGATGAAGGTGGGGGCAGCTGGCAGTGCTTTCATTTCCTTGAAGTGCTGTCCAGATTTCAAAAGCCCAGGGAGCAGATCTGACAGTCTGCAGAGACTTGCTTCCCTCCTTGGACCTGCAACTTGTGCTGTTGGTTGGCCAGCTCTGCTGGCCCAGTGTCATATATATGCAGCCAAAACAATTTCCAGATAATTTTGGTTCAGTTCTATCGCCTCTGCAATTGGATATTCCATCTGTGGCCTTCAGCTGTAACTCCTTTAGGAGGAGATAGAGGTTGCAAAGGGAGGTGGGTCTCACATCCTCCTGGAGCTAGGAAACATAAGGCCAGGTGAAAGTGACTACTGTGGGCCTCTCAAGTACCACACAGAACACTGTTAATATTAGCATCTAAAGATTACATGCCTCAGTCTGAGGGACAACAAATTTTAAATGAATGAGAGTCCTCTAGGACAAAAGGTACAGTTCACCTGTGGGGAAATGGTGTCTGATTGTCCTTAGCCAAAAAAAAAAAAAAAAAGTAATCTTTAAAAGTACTACATACCTTTTAAAAATGAAGAAAACGTGCTGTGATGATGAGCGTAAGAATTTCAGTTTTGAGATTTTAACTTAATTCTTTTATCATTCTAGGAATGCTTTAATTCTCCATATGGAACCCAATACTTTAAGGAATATGCAGAGAAGATCCCTGGAGAATCCACACAGAAGCTCTCAGAAGTTGCAAAGGAGTGCAGCATATATCTCGTTGGAGGTAGTTTATTCCTACTGACTGCTTCTATTGAGGGGTGAATGGTCAATGTCTACTGGTGCACCTGAATCAAAACTCCATAGAATACCATCATGGGATGGGTAAATCTTTGTTCTCTACTTTATAAAGGATCCATTCCAGAAGAGGATGGTGGAAAGCTGTATAATACTTGTACTGTCTTTGGTCCTGATGGTGCTATATTGGCAAAACACAGGAAGGTAAGATGGTAGAGTACCGTTATTATGTTTCTCATCCACGTGGCCAGTATTAGCAGCGTTGACAAAAATGACATTTGATTGACATATAGGGTTTGTGTGCTTAGTCATTTTTTTGTTGTTGTTTCCCCAAATAACTTTAGACATGTATATTTCTGTAAAGAAGAAAACTGCTTTAAATCATCTTTAGAAGCTATTGCAATCTTAAACAATATTTAGTTGGGATCTTGCCAAAAGAATAATCCAGTGACATGTGCCACAAAGGAAAAGGCTCCAACACCAAGTGGAGAAATTGTTATTTTTATTAATAATATTGTAATTACAGATTCATTTGTTTGACATTAATGTTCCTGGGAAGATACAGTTCAAGGAGTCTGAAACACTGAGTCCAGGGGATAGTTTCTCCATGTTTGATACTCGTGAGTATAAGACAAGCCTTCTTCTTACGATCACTGCCACAGTAACACTGCTGTCATTGCAGAGCTCTCTTCCCTCTCGTTTCTCTCCAGAATGGATTTTTAGACTGTCAAGTTTATATTCGCCATTTGGCAACAATAGCAAATATATTCCAAGAGTGGGGGTTAGATATGAACGTTTTAAGAAAGGCAGTATGATTGAAAAAGGACAGAGTAAAAGGGGATAAAGCATACCTGGCCTAATGATTTGTTGAAGAGAAGTTACTGTCTTTTAATAGAAGTTACATTTTTAATATGGTGTCTATAAAACAGAAAAGAAATACATGTAGCCAACAGCTACACTGGCACATTGTTTCATGTGAGGGTGGTATTGTAATGGAGGCAATCAACTGTAAATCCTATCCCAACATTCTTGAATCAACTACATCAGATTCAAACAAGACAACTACCCCCACCCCATCTTCAGAAATTAACACAGACCCTTAACTGAACTCTCCTAAGAGTCTTGACTCTCACACTGACTTTCTCCTCCTGGTAATGTGCACGCCCTAAGAAATTATGCAACTGTAGCTTTGGTCCATGCAGCACAAAGAATGCTTTCTTTGTCACTGAAAAGCTTGCAGCTATATCAGAGAGGAATACCTCTCTCTCTCTTTTCTGTGCTTGTGACAGTAACACAGTTGTTATTTCTGGTGTTTTGAGAACAGCGTACTGTAAAGTGGGCCTGGGCATCTGCTACGATATCAGATTTGCTGAGCTGGCTCAAATCTACGGACAGAAAGGTAAGGCTGGGTTATGCTTAGACCTAAGGCCTGAACTAAAGGGGGCTGTGTGTAACATGTAACAAGAATCCCCGTGTGTTCAAGAGCTCTTATCCTCTTCCATTAGCACAAAATGCAGCTTATGGACAGGATTTTGTTATTGAAATGAATATCTACTCTCCTTGAGTAAAGTAAGTCATTTTCTGCTACATGGAGATGTACGTGGCCCCACTCACTGCAGTGTATCGTAGCATTTTGTTGGAATAACTATCTCTGTGACGCATGGATAAGCTCTACTTATTTCCTGGCAAAAGTCAAGAAAAAAAAAGAAAGCTGACCTTCAGCTTCTATGTGCAGTCACTGTAGGTTAAACCCTCTTCCCCTTAATGACGGCTGGGTTCTACTTTTCTTTTAACAAAGGTTGCCAGCTGCTGATATATCCAGGGGCTTTTAATATGACAACAGGACCAGCTCATTGGGAATTGCTACAAAGGGGACGGTAAGAACAAAGTAACTGAGCAGGGAGTTTGTGTGTGGAACAGAACTGTTTCTGTTGCAGGAGCCCTGTGCTGTCAGAACTTTACAATTCCTCAGGTCTTTCATGGGACAAAATGATTGTGCTGGCAGGGAGAGAAGCAGGAGCTGCTTATCCTTCACTCCTGTTCTTCCCACTGCAGTTGTGCCCTCACAAAGACCTTTTCCCCATGGCTTTGTGAGCACCATTCACAAAGAAATTTCTACACAGAATAGCCAACAGACAGCAACAATGATGTCAGAACTGCTTTACATGCAGACAGAAATAGATCATGAGACTCCCAAATAGGCAGTATTAATCACCTGGTCTGCTTCCATCAGTTTTACTGCATACCAAATTAACATGTAATTCTTTCTGTCCACTAACTCTGGGGCAGGCAGCAGAGGCTCCTTCCACTTCTGCCTCTAACCTTTGTGTCCTTTATGATTTTGGAAAGCCTACAGGAGGCTGGACAGCCCAGCTTTCAGCAGGAATTCTGACTCCTCTGCTTGGTTAATTGGTGGCACTGGGGGAAGGAGGGGAAGGGAGAAGACTACTCATTTTCTTCTCTCCTTTCCCCTGTCTTTTTGTGAACACAGAGCTGTCGATAATCAAGTCTACGTAGCTACTGTATCTCCTGCTAGAGATGAAAAAGCATCCTACATTGCCTGGGGACACAGCACCGTAGTAAATCCATGGTGAGTTCAGGAAAAAAAAGAAACCAAAATTGTTAAATGTTTTATTTGAGTCTCACTTCAGTCCCACATTTCCAATTACTCTTAAAAAGAAAAAAATCATCCTTTTCTTTTTGTTTTTCAGCCAACCAGCTTTCAACTAAAACTAGTTTAACAGCACACATTCCTGGAGGAAGCACAGTAGCCAGTTTAGCAATATTAAGCACTAGTTAAGCTGCTGCCCTTTTCAACTTGCTTTATGTACTATGTATGGGGGTAATTGTGTAGAACAGAGCCATCTTAACTTTATAAAAAAGCATTTAATTTGCTCAAAGAAGATCAGTTTGACCTAAGAAAGAACAAGAAGGATGTCTTCAACTAGATGAGGCCTCACTTCACTTAAGCAGCAATTATTTTTCCCCAGCACATGGGTAATTGGGTAAACAAAGTTTTCTGGCAGTTACTTTTCTTCCAAATAAATCATTCCCCTGATACTACTCTTCTAGACAATTGCAAAGAAAGTGTATGTTGAATATAACAGCACCTAATGGGGCACATAAGTGTGTAAATGTATGCTCCTATTAAAAGCTGGTGAGATCTAAAAGAAGAAAGTGCCAATCTTTGCTGTAGATGATTCTTCCTGGTGAAATTGCTTCCTTCCCCTTAAGGTATATTCCACATTCAGATACTAGTTCTCATAATTGCTCTTATTTTTGATCTTTGGAAATGTGCTTATGTTAAGTATGTGTATATGCCACACTTAAAACGTGCCACTTGTAAAGCATAGAAGCTATTTCTATCACACAGAGTTAAGAATTATGATGCTATTTTTAGGACAGCCCTGTGTCTACAGTTGTGGACATCAAGGGTAGAAACTCCCTTTTATACAAACAACAGCAGCTGATCTGATGCCTTGAGACTGTGTTAATGCTGTGAACAAATGTGCTTCGTGTTGCAGGGGTGAAGTCATAGCAAAAGCTGGGGCTGAGGAAACAGTTATCTATTCAGATATCGGTAAGCAAAGGTTTTTGTCCTGCTTTCATGAGTACAATGCATAAGACTAAAGAGACAGGTTGTTGGGTTGTTTTTTTTTGTTTTTTTTTTGTCTGTGGCCTTATTCACCCAGTTCCAGATGAAGCAGTGTTGCCATCCCTTCTCAACCTTTACTAGAGGAAAGAACAAGCAGCAGCAGGACTATTCCTGCTTCTTTACCTATGAGGAAGCTACCACCTTTGGAAAGAGCAAAGCTGAGGCTTCTTTCATGGTTGCCCAGTTGCTGTGCCCTACAGTCAATCACCATGAAAGCTGCACTCTTCCTGCCTTGTGTCATCAAGTCCTTTTTGACTACTGTTCTAACAGCTCTTTCTTTCCCCTCCAGATCTGAAGAAACTTGCAGAAATCCGTCAACAAATTCCTATTTTAAGCCAGAAGCGTTATGATCTCTATGGCATAGAGATGAAAAAGTGAAGCTGGGTGAACAGGAAAGGTTCTAGTGGCACAGTAGCTGCTGCTTTCCATCCTCAGGATTACCTTACTGGTTGCTCCACAGGCTATGGTGATAATTAATTAGGAACAAAACTTAATGGTATAATTCTAAAATTGATTGAAGTACAACTTTAATTTACCATATTAAACAGCTAGGATAAAGCTGGAGGTGAAATCAACTAAGTAGCAGTTAATCTTTTTAGTCATTACTGTATTTAGATACTTTTGTTTTGCTCTTAAGTTTCTGAGGCTTTTTTGTAGGATGTAAGGAGGTGGGAATTGTGTTCTCTCTGGAGATCCTCTGAAGTCAGCTTTAGTATTATGAACTTTTCACTGAATAATCAGGGGCTCTGCAAGTATGACTCTTCCACATCTGTACCTAAACAACTCTGAGTTTCTTAAATGCCCAACTTCAAACCAGGCAAGCTTAAAGTTTAACACACTAATCAAAATAGGCCAAATTCCACTTGGAACTACTTAAAGATAATGTAAGAAGCAGTCAAACAGAATTGTTAGCATGCAAGAATCTGTTAACAGATCCTGGCTGGAATATCTGTATTACATTCTTAATACAATTCCTGCTTATTGCTGAAGTGATGTTACTTTTTGTTAAAGAAGCTCACGTGTCACCACACCTCTGCTCTATTACTGCTTTCTGAATGTAATGTCTGAATTGGTGTTAGTTTCGCTTTCTTGTGTTCTACTGAAAAGGCTAACGGGAGGCAATCAAAACGGTTAGAAAATTTGTTGCCCACCTGTCCACAGTGTCACAGAACGCAGGTACCCGTATCACTGAACATCTACATGCATTACTGTTACCAAAGGCCAGCTCCCTCCAGCTGCATGGATATGTGCCCCACTGCATTGCTCTTGCGTAAGAGACCAGCAAACTGGTTAAAGGTGGCTTTAAAGAACTTAAAGGCAGTCTTGCATTTTGTAAGAGATTTCATCTCAGAAGGAGGTCACCTTAGTGGTTCCATTTCTAATGAAAAAGCTAAGTATTTGCTGATGGCAATTTTTTTCCTTAAGTGGGAAGCAAAAAGAAGTATATATGACTATTCACCCTCTACCTCTGTGCTTTTACTTTTCCACCAACACAAAGGATGATCTACAGGCAAAAGGAGATTTCAGATTACAGAAGAGGACAGCTGAAAGCTTTTGTCTCGTTCTATCTAGCCACTTGTGCCCCAAACCATCTTACCTGTTCCTCCTTCAGCCATCCTTCTTCTCCCACAGCTATTCTCTTTTTCTGACGTTCCTTTGACTTCTCTGAAGTTAATCAGCTGTGTTGTTCAGAGGCCCCAGCCACCTATAGGGAAATTAATGGTTACATTAAGTTAAACCCTAAGAAGTCTTTCCCCTAAAAGGCAGGTCCCATCATTCCATTCAGTGGCATTATCTATTCCAGCAGCCTTCTGTGCCTGTTTCTCAGCATTTTGGTCTACACACCGTAATGGAACTCTTAAGAAACACGCCATGGAGCGTAAGGTGAAATGAAAATTTATTTGTTGAAAAATAAATATAGAAAAATTAACATTGAGTCAGATTTACTGCATTAAATTGGTGCCTGCCACATACATAACAATCAACATTAATGAAAGGCCTTCACAGGGGTCTGACTTCCAAACCACACCAGCTATTGTGTATCTATTTCTTCTGAACTACCACATCTTCTTCACCACCCCTACACTATACTAATACACAGCAAAATGGAACACTCAGCTTTGGAGGATAAAAGAAATGCACGACCCCAACAGCTAACCACTTCAATGTGGCGATGTAAGATCCAGTCTGAAACAGGCAATATAACAGAATGTGTGGCATGGACAATCCTCCCCTGGAATTTCAGATGGACAGAACAAGTGATAATGTGTAGTGGCCCACTTTGGTGAATGAAGCTGAAGAGGTGACGCAAGCTCAGCCCTATTTGTCTGTCATGTCGAGTTGTAAATACCTTGTCCTAGGAGGCTGCGTTGGCAGTCTCCAGAAAAATTTACTCAGAGTCACTCAGAAACGATACCAATGGACTGTGAACTTTAGGGGGTTTGCAAACAAAATGTACACAACTGGTTCTCAGCTAGGTAGCTAGTCAGTACTCAATTCTATGTTAGCAGAAGACAGGCACTTTAAAGTGTCCACTTTTTGCATGTGCACCAATATTCTGTTAAATATATAAAAGTAGCCAGTAACAGCTCTGAAATGGCTGTGAAAGTAGATCCTAGTAAATCAAGGCACAGCTTTCAATCATATCCATTTTGGCAAACTAGCCTCTGCATCTTAACACAAACAGCAGGAATTATACATGATCAGAATTAAGATGCATAACTATGCATAGAAGCAACTTCCCACAGGCTCTACGATACAGTCTATCCAGACCTTCAGTAATAACTTCCTACATGATTTCACTGTGTTTTTTTTTTTAATAGCAGCAATAATTGTTTCAACAGCAGCCCTCAACCCCTATTTAAAAAAAAAAAAGCATTTCAAGGTAGGTTCACATGTATACCTGGCATAAAGCAAACCCTCACACTTACATCAGCCAATAAAGAAATGAATTCCTTTCCCTAGACAGGAGGAGCAAAATTTAACTGCACACGCATATGAAGGAGGTGTCAGCTACTCAGATTCCCAGCTCTCCTATCTCCCTGCAATCTTCAGCCCTCCAGATCATACCTCTGCAGGTGATGGTAGCAATCAGAGATAAGGTTCCTTCATTCCGTGTCTCCTCATCTTTTCTTCAAGGCTCAGGTGAGAGATGAGAGGCAATTATTAATTCTTCCTAGATGCGGAGCGACACCAAATAAGCGCAGAGAACACTACTGCAGAGAAACTTCCATCAAAACCTGCTCTTATTCATGTCAGAGAATGATACTTGAAGGTAATATTTATTTTTTTTCAGTTTACAGGTGATACGTCATTTACAAAAAAATTACAGACAATGCATCCTTTTCAGTGCAGTTTCAAACTAGTTCAAGAACAGGCAAGTCTGTGATGATTTGGAATGCTAGTATTTGACAGCACATGCTTTTTTCCCTTAATTGGTTTGGTGGGGACAGGAATGGGGTAAAAGTAGGGTGAAGAGGAGATAAAGCCAATGTAAATAAGGCCATGCAAATAAAAACTCCTCAGGAGAACAGGACAACTCGGTCAGACTGGCATAGTTTTGTTCTCAGGAACAAATGCAGGAACTGATGCAGAGATGGCAAGTTCCAGAAGGCTTTTGACACTTGTTACACACAATGTCCTTAGCAGCTGCAAGTACCTTCCAGTGCCTTCAATTCTACACCAAAGCTACGATTTCAGATCACATCAGTAAGCTAACTAACTTTCCACATCTACAGTTCACCATTTCCATTCTCAATTGTTTTTGCTGGAAGAAAGGTAGGTCAAGTTGAAAACACGAGCTGCTGCTATGGAGTGCCACAAGGAGAGAACAAAACAGTTTGATGGCAGTTTGGTTCATTTCTTTAAGAAGTGAAATACATTAGAAAATTCAACACAAGCAAATCTATGATTTTAGGATGGGTAGAAGCACAGATCAATGTATGGTAAACTAAGTGACATCAATTAAGTATTTGCATGAGTGTTATCCAGCCACATCAGCCCAGGGAGAAGCACCACAGACTGACTACATTATCAGATGGATCAACCCAAAGCAGCAGAGAAGCGCTCACTGAACTTCATAGTTAGAGGATGTGTTTATACTAGTAGTAACTTGCCAATGTGCTATTTGCCAACCAGTTGCTTCTTTTGTTCAGTATCTATAATCTTAGACAATACAGGACCTGAAGAACAAGGAAACTAGCAAAGGTTCTAAATCCATGATTTGAGGGTTTAGACTATGCCTTGTTCTTTATCTCACTTAATCTTGCAGAGGGCTATTACAAGGATTAGAGCAGAACACAGAAGTCTCTAGGGACCAAAGAAGAGAATTTAGACAGTTGTATGAACTGTTAGATTTCAGCAATGGACAGATCATAAGCAAGCATGACCATACCTTGGCAGCTCCACTCCCAGCAGTGCTTTCTATCCTTGAAAGTCTCTCAGAACCCTACAGAACAGTTTCTTGTGACATTCAAGTAAGGATTGCTGCACAGGAACATGGCATCTCTTCCAGTAAAATCTGCAGTAAAAGTAGCGTTACCTAACCTCTTTCCCCAAAAAACCTTTGCACTAGCTGTCCTACATGGTACACCTGGGCTTTCTGGGGTGAGAATAAGGACTATCAAATTAATTCCCTAATAGCTGCCACAGGACTATTTTTAAGTTGTAATGCAGAGGGTGGGAAGGGCTTTAAGGGAAGATTGTGCATGCTTGCATATATTTACAGAATTCTCTTCACAGCTACTGGCTTTAAAAAAAGAAATATGTTAATAAACAGTTCGTAAATTGTGTTTTTTTTTCCTTTTTGCAAAATTAAAATCAACCCTCAAGAATTAATCATGTATAAAAGAGAAACCTATTTTACAGCACTGACTAGTATTACCTTTAAAATCAACAGGGAAAAAAAAAAAAACATGCTGTAATATTATTTAGTAAAGCAAAAATCACCCATAACGTAATCACTCAAAATGAACCAATACAAAGTTTTTATTTGCATGGCCTAAGTATCTTCCATTTGTTCCTCTGCAACTTTTTTTCCCCTTAAAATGCTTTAAGGTTTTTGCTGCAGAAGAAACAAGATGCAACAGTGCATACTCCCTTGAACAACCACTCCCACAACACCTAAACATTTAACAGATGTAGCAAATGACAACACCACGAACGGGAAAAAACTAAGTTCCACCATTCAACATGGTTTGCAACAGCGTCTTTAGGGCTGACTGAAGTGGGCAACTTCTAAAGTGAAGTCATTTCCTCCTCTTGTTTGTTTTGTGTTTGTTTTTACAGTGTTGGTGGTTTCAATCCATACTTCTTTGCAACTTCTGTCTGGGCGTAGGCAGCATCGCAAAGCGAGTAGAGGTGGGCCATCTCCATTTCAGATTTGGCCAGGTTGATAGCTTTGTTGAACATTTCAATGGCTTTATCTAGATTACCTCTGAAATAAACCAAAACATCATCCAATTAAGACCAGCAAATTAATTTCTGCATGTCTGCAGCACCTCTTCTGAAACCAAATGGTCAGGTTTGGGCGTATAGGTCAGGATTCTCAGTGCAAATAGTCCATTAAGGTATGTTTGAGGACTACATTAGATACATAGGAATTCTAATGAGGATTAATGAAGTAATTTTAAATGCAAAAGGGATATATTTAAACACACAGACTAATCTACATGTTATCCAGTAAGTATGAAATTGGCCAGATCATAAATCAAAATTATGCCACAAATAAAAGCAAGGCTTTGCCCAAGAGTTACAGAACAGTAGTCGAGACAAAGTTAAGAACTGGCCTCTCACTGCACTTGGAGATGATCTTAAGAAAGGTTTAAGATCTGCGGGGAAAGCTAAAGGACCGCTGTAATTTCAAAAATGACTTGGAATTCTTAACACTGCACTTCATTATTACCTTTGCACTTCAATCGTTCCCATGGTTTCGTATGCAAAATCACATTTGTTATCAATTTCAATGGCCTTGCTTATGAGTTCTAAACCTTTGTCTAAATCTTGCTTCCACTGAAGCTGAAGTAAACTGAAAAGAAAAGAGAAAATTTAGAACTTCACATATTCTCTGTAACCCAGATCACATTTAAGGGTGGAGCATGGCAGACATTGAGATGTGGTTAAAGTGACAGTCAGATACACTTCAATCAGATACTCAATTGAATGATTATTGATGAAACTTTACTGAAATTTCAATCTCATTTCCAGTCAAGAGAAACTGCAGAAATAACAGCACTAAGTTGTTTTTGCAAAGCCACTTCTGGCTAAACTTCTCAACACTTACCTTCAGTTTGAATTGATTCACCTAAATATGCCAACTGCCCCTGACCTAAAGGATTGCAAACTCCATACATACCCTTTATGAACATACGTAGTGGCATTGTCTGGCTCAAGATCAATGCATTTATCATACATTTCATCAGCCTTGCCAAACTGCTGTTGATCAGTTAGTGCCTGCAACGAAAGAGAAATCTATGTATCAATACGTAATCAAAACATGCACCCCCCAGCTAAGCTAATTCTAACATTAGATTGAATATAGCTCTCTTATCAGAGAACAGGCCAAGCACACCAGTTACCACAACTAAGTTTCAAAACTGAGTCTTTTCAGAAGAAGGCTGCTAATTTTTACATGCAAAAGTTACTGATCACAGTATCATCTGTAACAGGAGATCCCCAAGCAACATGTTAAAGAGTACTGCAAGTATAAATAGTAATAAAAAGCATTCTGGAAGTCTGTACATGCACATCTCAACTTCCTTTTTTAATGTATTTCTGCTTCAGTTATTTCTTTGAACTGATCAAAAGGAATCAGAAATATATG